AGCAAGAGCTCCTGTCAGAGGCCTGGACAGATTGGAGTCTGGATTTGAGCTTGAGTTATTAAGATGTATCCGGTGGAGGCTGCTCCACAGGATAAGACCTTCACTGCAGAGTGCTCTTAACTTTGTGAATAATTAGGTTGGGTGTCCACATCTGAGCGAGACACCAGCGTGAGGCATTCTTGAAGTGCATTAGTGAAGTGTTCAGCACCCTTCAGAGGTAAACAAATGAGTCAATTCACTGCAGCAGATAGCCCTAGTCCTCCTGTATTATTAATATTCTGATTATTGCAGTTGGGGAAAGAACTGGTTTTTATGTTAAGCCGCAAGGGGGATATAATATATGCTTTGCATAAAAAAATGGTACAAGTAGATCAGTGTGTGTGTGTGTGTGTGTGTGTGTGTGTGTGTGTGTGTGTGTGAAATCTTGAAACATTTTAGAGAAAGAAATTAAAAATGGTCAAAACAAAAAAAGATGTTTATATTCATTTTTAGACAACACAATGGCAATGTTTTAATTTCAGTTTGAGTTGAGAAATCAATATGTGGAATAACCCTGATCAGATGCTATAGTAAATAAAATAAAAAATAAAAAAAAGTTCTTCATGATTATGTAAAAACAAATAATTCCATAAATAAAGACAAATACTGACATGAGATAGATAGATAGATAGATAGATAGATAGATAGATAGATAGTCGTCCGCGAGGGGCTGCCACTTTACTTTCATTTTGTGTTTGTTTATTTTATTAAATTGTGTAAATCATTAGCAATTAGCAATTAGCAGTTATAATCATATAACTGTTCGCCGGTTCCCGTCTCCTTCTTCCCGACCTACGAACGGTGTTACAATATAACATTTTATGTATATAATAATTTTTTTTATTTTTTTATTTTTTTATTTGAGTTAGATAGATAGATAGATAGATAGATAGATAGATAGATAGATAGATAGATAGATACTTTCTTTCAACCCCCCAGGAATCCTGTTACATTCATTAAATTAATTTCCTTTCAATTCATATGTTTTATTTAATTTGTAAAGTGGGAAGGAAATTTGATCAAATTTTAATTGAATGTCATGTATTTACTGTGCATGTTAGTTGTTTTTATTAATTAAACAAAATGTTGGAATCTGAACAATGCCTGCACTGTTTCTGTAATAGAAATGCAGTTACGTTTCATTGGACACTTTCAATGAACAATGCTCATCTCCATCAGTATAATGAGGCAATTGTTACGGATATTGATCAGCGTGCAGCATTTACTAAATGAAATAACATCAGGTCTGAATGAATTGGAAGAGGAGGAGCAGACCATAATTTAGAGCTGAAGTGATGAAAACAAAGTCAGCAGATCTCAGTTGGCTGGACAGATACGTGTATTGTCTGCTGAGCCGCTCTAATGGCAGCACAATGCTGCTGAACTGATCTCCATAGCAGCACAGGTGCCATAATCACCCTGATCAGAAAATGGTGCAGCAGAACTCTCTGACTTATTTACATTCAGACGGCCTTTGGCGCAAGCAGTCACACTAATACAGACACAAGGTCACTGCGGGGAGAACCAATGGCAGCCGTTCTGACTAACACAGAAAGATTAGAGCAGCATCAGTATTGGATGAATGATAAAATTCAATATCATCATTACCCAACAGAAAATATGAGAATAAGAGAATGTTTAGCTATAATATGGCCGTGAATATTGTCACTGAAAAAAAAGTAGTGTAGAAATAATTTTCACCCAGAAATTGCTAGTAAATTTCACAATTGCAAAGAAATGGCAAGTAACATATTGAATTAATTGTGCAAATTTGAAGTACAAAGACTGAATTACTGTTTCCCTGCAAACCATATACTTTAATAATCTTTGTTTTTTTTTAAACTTTGAACAATTATTTTTACAGTGGTACTGTGACATTACCAAGACACAGTGAATGTGTCACATGAATACTGTGAATACTGTGGTACTTTTAGGGATCAACTGATACCAGTTGCTGTTTTTTATTTTTGTTATGACTGATATTTTATTACTAATATTATGAATGCATATTGCTCTGTCTGTTTTTTTAACCTGGGATCAGAACTGTGGTTTGCTGCTTTAGTCCTCTTCTGTAGCTGTGGAGTCTGCAGCATATGATTTCAAACAAGTTTTAAACAGTTCTCTGAATTACTCGATTGTGAATTGTCAGTCATGGCAGTCTGAGGTCAAATACTGTTGTATAATGATTGTGATACTATAATTGACTGAACTGAATTTCTACATAGCTGTGCTTGTTTGTGTTTCTTGTACTTGACAAATATACATTTAAATACACATATTTCCTTTACAGAAACAAGAAGCCAAGCAAGTGACTAACAATAAGAAGAATCATCTACACAAACAGTTCTCTTGTGGATAACCTTTGACTATTCAGTCAATTTTTTCAAGTGCTATATAGCTGCTGGTCTGTGTTACTACAGGTCTGGATGGGGATTTATTTAACACTACACTATAAATGACTTTGCCCATGGTTAAGTCAGGGTGCAGCCTCTCTGCTGTTTAAATCAGGTTAGTGTTACGCACTGCTATATCTACAATGACACCATTCAGAGAGGGTCTTCTGAGATATGAACCTCTTTGAACAGCCTTTCCTTGGGCATTTTAGAATTCATGGTAAATATGGGGCCCAATTTTGTGAAAATATAACAGACTGTTTCTGACAGTCCATTAGACATTGTGTATTACTAAAATTCTGTCAGAAGGATAGAAGTACTATGACTTTACAACTGCTTTTGATTTAAGCCTTGCAGCATGTGTCTTATTGGCCTGCAAACCTACCTGCAAGCACTATATACCAGAACATCATTATCGGCCTACATATCATTATGAACACTAAACATTACCAGAATCACCTTGGACTTTTGTGCTACATAATTATTCAGTATCTGTCATGGTATACCTCAAAGTACCATGGTTTAACCATCTGTGCAACACTGCACCATGGTGTTACAATTCTATAAACAATTCGGTAAACACTCAAGAATATACCATGAATCATTTAATTACAGTAATATATCACATAAATTAATTCCAAACATTTAATTAGTCTGTAACTATTTATTGGTGATGATATTTGCTAAAACCCAAATCTAAGTCTATACCTAAAGCTACCCCTCACAAAAAGTTGCTGCAATAAACTATCTATCTATCTATCTATCTATCTATCTATCTATCTATTAGAGATGCACCGATAGTAAATTTCTCAGCCGATACCGATAGTCGACTGTTTAGCGTGCTATCGGCCGATACCGATAGTTTGGTGGTTCTGCATTTTATATCTTCTTTAAAATTAATAATAATCCATAATAATTCCATAATTTTAGCTGTGCATAGCTTACAGACTGCAGTTTTGTCATCATTGTCACCCACTTCAAAGTAATTCCACACAAGAGACATCTTTACGCACAGCACGTATTCGATGCATTCCCGCCAATTTTGATTGACAGGATATATCGGCCCTGATCATCGGATGTTTTTAAATGAACAAGTAGTTTTGAGAATTTAATTTCTGATCTGAGAAATGCACCAAAGCGACTGAGAAAAACTGTAAACATGATTTGGCCGAACAAATATAGGCAAACCTACACACACACACACACGCACACGCACGCGCACACGCACACACACTCACACACACACACACACACACACATATTTGGTGGTTCTGCATTTTATATCTTCTTTAAAATTAATAATAATCCATAATAATTCCATAATTTTAGCTGTGCATAGCTTACAGACTGCAGTTTTGTCATCATTGTCACCCACTTCAAAGTAATTCCACACAAGAGACATCTTTACGCACAGCACGTATTCGATGCATTCCCGCCAATTTTGATTGACAGGATATATCGGCCCTGATCATCGGATGTTTTTAAACAATCGGCCGATGGCCGATAGCGCGAAAAATTGCTTCTATCGGCCGATACCGATTGTTGGCCGATACATCGGTGCATCTCTACTATCTATCTATGTGTCTGTCTGTCTGTCTGTCTATCTGTCTGTCTGTCTGTCTGTCTGTCTGTCTGTCTGTCTCTCTATCTATCTATCTATCTATCTATCTATCTAGCAAGGATGCATTAAATTGATGAAACGTAAGAGTAAAGACATTTATAATGTTACAAAAAATGTATATTGAAAAATTCAATTCTTTATGTTCATCAAAGATTCCTGGAGGGGGAAAAAATTTATATGTTTTCCACAAAAAATTTTAAGCGACACAATGTTCTAAACATATAATAAGAAATGTTTCTTGAGCACTAACTGATTACAATGATTTCAAATTAATTTCTGTGATTTTGTAATAACAGTTATCATTGAAAAATTATTAAATTATTTTATTATGATTAATTGTATTATTATTATATTATTTAAATTCAAATGAAGCCTTGGTATCCCTACACTTTTAAACGGTAGATTTAAAGTAGATTTTACAGTTTTTCTCAGTCGCTTTGGTGCATTTCTCGAATCATCCTTACAGTTTTTCTCAATTGCTTTGGCACATTTTTCGAAACAATCTTAACATTCTCTAAACTGTGAGTGCAAATGTCACAACTGTTTGCTGGAACTTCAGAACTTGAATTGGTGGGTTTTTGTTAAATGTGAGCCAAAATCATCACAATTAAAAGAACCAAAGACTTAAACTACTTCAGTCTGTGTGCGTTGAATTTATTTAATACACAAGTTTCACAATTTGAGTTGAATTACTGAAATAAATGAACTTTTCCATGACATTCTAATTTATTGAGATGCACCTGTATTGTATACAACATACACTTTACAACATATTGTGACAGAATAGTTTTTTATTTAATTTTCTCAGCCATCTTTTGTGACTTTGTGTCAGGTGTTATGCACCCTAAATAAAATGAACGGATACGATCTATATTGTCTGCTCCATTAAAGACATAAAGGAACTGTCTATATTGACATTTGTCATCGTTCTCACATGAACAGGGCTGTCCACAGACGACCATGTCTCCTCCTCGGCTCACTGGAGCCCTGCGCTCCTTTTCTACTGTCAGCAAACAGGAGGATTTAACACAAGACATTTATGATCTAAAGGTAAGACAACATGAATTCATCTGGAGCTTTGTTAAATGATTTGTTTAATATTTTGTCATATTTTAGTTTTGTTAGTTTAACTTATTTTTGCATTTTAGTTTTAATGGTTTGTTGGAATTTGGTGCATGCGTTAATATAGAAGTCAACTGATGTCATCACATGCTTGTGTAATTGGTTGTTTTTATAAAAGATAGTTCACCCAAAAAATTAAAGTTCGGTCATCATTTACTCACCCCAACTTGTTCCAAACCTGTATCACAAAACAAGATATATTGAAGAATTTGTGTAACCAAACAGTTGTACTGTGGAAGTCAGTAGGGTTCATCTGCTGTTTGGTTATCTTCTTTTATGTTCTTGAGGGTGAGTAAATTATTTTTCATTCCTTTAATGGCTTATATAATGCGTGCGTATGCATGCACACATGCACATACATAAATGAATTCTTAATTTGTAAATTAGTGTGAATAATACTTTCATTGTTGAATGTTTTGGATGCATGTAACCATAGAATATATGCATAGAATATGCAGTCTTTATTACATATTAAATAGGGAAATTCAGTGCCAAAAATAGTTTTGCATTGCATTAATTTCTGTGTCAATCAAACCTGTTGTAGGTATGGCAGTATAATTTTACAAACTCGTAGTGCTCTTATTTTAAACTTTTTAAGTGCTGGGAAGCCTTGATAGTTTATAATAACTCATGACCTTCAATTATAGGTTTTGGGAATTTAAACCAATTATTTAATGGTGTTTGCTAAGACAGGCAGCACAATTACTATTGCTCATACTTAGGGATATTTGGGGTTTGAGATTTGAACAAAGCCCTAACCCTAAGTGTTAAATTTGAGCATGCTGTGTTTGTGCTACAGTTGAAAAGTAGTTCAGGTGTCGGTAAGAATTCTGAGTTTAAGCTTGAGTTTAAGTCTCTTATGCTCTCCAGGTCTTCGTTTAATGGATCAAATACGGGAAAAATACAGTAATAATATGAAATATTTTTACAAGTTAAAATAGCTGCTTTCTGTTTGAATATATTTTAAAATGTCATTTATTCACGTGATTGTAGAGCTAAATTGTCAGCATCATTACTCCAGTCTTCAGTGTCACATGGTCCTTCAGAAATCATTCTAATGTGCTGATTTGGTGCACAAGTAACATTTTTCATTATCATCAAAACAGCTAAAAACAGTTGTGCTGCTTAATATTTTTGTGGAAACCCTGATATATTTTTACTTTGAATTGAAAGTTCAAAAGAACAGTAATGTATTCTTGCTGAATAAAAGTGAGGGTGTATTCACACCAGGAAAGTCCGCTAGTTCACTTGCTTTGGTCCGGACCAAATACAGTGTTGATTTTTTTTGTTTGGTGCGGTACGCTTTCACACTGCCCTTTTTGAAAGTGAACCAGAAATTGTAAACAAAACTACACGTGTGCTAAGGTCATCCATTCATTGGACAGAAATTCTCAAGCAGGGAAAACAGGAAGTGCAAAAACAGGCTAATCATGTAGATCTTTCGTAGTGCAATTTTTATTCTTTTACTGATTTGGTGTTATCAGATACTAACGCAATATGAAGAAACTTATGAGCATCATATGAGACAATGTCATACGATGTTGTAATTACTACTTGGCGAAAATAAAATCTATAGATATAAAATACTTAAAGCATATCGCAATGTTAGTTTAAACATTTAACCTATATAAATGTGCGCTATTAGGTGCATATCCAATCGTTTGTGCGGAGAGTGGAAGCTGAAGCGCGCTTCAGGACATCAGTGGAAACAAATGAAATACGCCGTCATTTTTGCTCATAAAGATAAGAATAATACATCGTTTGGAACTGTAAAGGGTTTATTTTTATTTGTGTGCATTCACAATATCAACAAAACGTTGCGCTTTTGTAAAATAAAGAAAAAAAACAGGATGCGCTTGCCGCCTCGGTCTTGAGCAGGAGCGCTTCACAAAAATGAACCGAAAATCAGCGAATATTTTCCTTACAGACATGATGAATATATCTATAGAAAGCTTTAAATAACTACAAAACGAAATAATTCAAATCCAAAACAAAAACTCTTTCATTATGTAATCCAAGATGCATTTCTTTCTTAAGGCACGTCCAATGATGAGATGGCGAGTCAGGATCATCAATTTCATCTATGCGACACTGACTCAGAAAACACTATTTTATTAATAAATTATTCAAATATCTCCTTACTATTTTCCCCCAACATATACATGGTAACTTTTGTGGCAAGCTTTAGCCTATTTAGCACGCTCACGTCACGCCAACGGCGTTGGTGTGCGCCATGGTCTCGAAAACTCATCATTTGCATGCATTTTTAAGCATTGTGGTTTAAAAACAAGTGATTGAAATGCAAAAAACAGCACTACATGTGCAAGCTGTCTGTTTCTGAGCGTGATTGCTGCAATTGGGTCGGATCGAGGTCGGGTCATATTCACACCTTAAACGAACTGTACCAGAGTTCGTTAGGAAGCAGACCGAGACCACCTCTTCAGCTGGGTCTCGGTATGGTTGTTTGGTCCGCACCCGAGTACGATTGCTGTATTCACACCTGCCCAAAAGATCCGCAACAAGGGTGGAAACGAACTTGAGTTCGATTCAATTGAACCAAACAAGACAGGTGTGAATACACCCTGCGACTTTACATAGGTCCTGAAGCATATCTAGGGACCAGTAGGCCTCTATGAGGTTGTTTTTACATGTTAACATCAGTTTAAAATGGGACAGGTGTAAATGGGGTCCAAAATGGTTTGAGATTTGTTAGCTTTCTGACAAAAAACATTTACAATTCAGTTAATATAGCTACTTCACTAAAATAAAAGATAGTTCCTCTTGAAATAGTGAAATAGGTTACAAATTCACTTGAAATCCAATCATAAAATAGAGGTGTAACAGAAACAGCAGTGTCTCGGCTGACCAATCACAAATCTTAATTCCAGGTTTAAACAGGACCATTTTAGATTTTAAACTGGCTGAAAATCCTAAAAAAAAAAAGCATAATACTACCCTGACACTTACAACATCACTTTGCACAGGCAATCCTCAGAATATTTAAGAAATGTAGCTATTATGGCATTATCTGGACAAGCAATGTCTAAACTGTATTTATCAATCACCTGTAGTCATGTCCATGGCTTGGAACATAATCAGCAAAAGTTAGGAAATTTACCCAATGGATTAGCTGTGATATATGGATTAAAGTGGATTTAAGGCCACAGATATATCTGCAAAGTGCTGTTTTATGCTGATAATATCGGCCTACAGATTTATATCACTTTAATTAATAGCCAAAACAGCTTTTGTCTCTCTGTAATCTGATGTCCTCTGTCTGTACTTCATTTAATCATGTTTCTTTGACCTTGAGAGTATGATTCATAGTGTATTAAATGAGCTTTGACCGCTCTGTTTCTCTTTAATCTCTCTCTCTCGACTTTGCTTTTATTGGGATTTTGCGGAAGCAGAAAGCCACACCTCAGTTCAGCGTAAATTCTTTGCTCGTCTCTAAATTCAGATTTCTTTATCGCCACTGCTGCTGATTTTGGACAGAGAGCGCAGGGTGCAGGTTTTTCCAAGCGCTCACTCATAATGCTGAGTTTGAGAGGGCACTGAAGTGCTGATACAATGGCGTGGTGTTAATTTACTCACTGACCCGGTGACATGACCTATTGAGCAGACATCACAAACTGAGGCATTTATTCAAATAACCCTTTCACTGTACCATTCAGCTGTGTGCAGTGGAACTAGTTTCATTAATGTTTTAATGATTTCAGGTTTGCTAGTCTCACAGGAATGGGTGATTAAAATAATTATATCTCAGTATTTTTCATCATTTTTATTTTTCATGTGTATCTTGATATTTATATGGAATAATTTTTATCTCACAATTTTCTCAATTTCACAGTTCTGACTTTGTTCTTTAAATTGTGAGACGTAAACTCAGTCTACATCAAGAAATTCTGAGTTTATATCTCGCAATTCTGTTTTTTTTCTGCCACATAATAAAAAATGGAAAAGGTAATTGAGACTTTTTATCTCATAATTCTGACTTATTTTCTCAGAATTGCAAGGAAAAAGTCAGAATTGTGAGACAAAAAGTTGCAATTACATTTTATTTTAATTCCTGTGGCGGAAACAAGCTTTCATATATTTATGTATTTACGCTGAACATTTCTGAGTGAAACAGCTTATTGAACAAAAAAAAATTAAATAAATAATAATAATAATTTGAGAGAAACTGGATTTAATTAATTTTATTTTATTGGTTTGTAAAAAGTTGAATCTGAGGGGGCTTTCACACTAGCATTTTTGGTGAGCACCCGGGTTCATTTGACGTCAGAGTTCGCTTCGTTTGGATAATGTGAACGCTGTTTTCTGAACTCGTGTGTGCACCCGCACCCGCATGTGAATGCAATCGTACTAAATCACGGTGAACCACTATTAATGACATATGAATTGTTCAAACTGTGTATTTATGTGTTTACTCACTTGCTTTCCTGATAAGCGTGACTGACACGCTGCAGCAGAGAGAATTTATATTGAATTTCTGTGTGCAGAAATTGACTCCCGCATTCTTTTGAACCCTTTAAATTACAGTCTTGACAGATATATGTGCTGTTTTGTGTTAGAGCTTTGGAAATTAATCCAAATTTTCAAAATCCGAAGTACAAAGATGTAGAGAGCAAGCATCATTACCTAGTAACCAAAAAAACAACAAAAAGTGATGTCTAAATATGTTCAGACCACTCATTTGCGTAGCAACATCGTTGAGAGCTGTTTTAGATCGACTAATTGTAATACTGTATAAGATTTCCACTCAAACGGCATAAATCTAGGCTATGTGCTGCCGGTTTCAGAGCAAAATGCAAAACCAATATTTCATTCACTGACGCGCTATACTTACTTCAACCCACCAAAATAAAAGTGTGCTGATTTTAGGTTTGAAAACGATGAAGAAAAAAAAAAATATATATATATATATTTATTCCATGGTCTTTCTGAATACTGGATTCTGATTGGCTGGCGGGTATGCAGTAAAATCGTTTAATGCACAGGTAGTTCCAAGTCAGTTTAATCACCGTTCCATATTAATGCGCTGCTTTAATTGATGCACACTAACCAACACACATCACTCGCACACACACACACCGAGAGAGAGAGAGTGTGAGAGATCGCAGATTGCGCTGCACACACACATAAACTTGTTGTCAATGCTTCCCCGCGATTTTTATTAATAAAATAGCCAATAGCAACGATGGTAAAATGGCTGTTTCTGAAGTAATTGTTTGTAGAAAGAGATGCGCAGACGCCGCACGCAGGTACACACAACTGTCATCTCTCTCTCTCGATCGATAATTAATTGAAATACATGCTATAATTCATTCAAATAAATGTGATCTTACCGCACTATTTCATCTGTGTCTGATTTGAAGCCGGCAGAATGCTAGAGCTAACGTGCCGTAACTGACGAAAAAAACGTTTCGGTTCTTTGCCTCCACGTCGTACATTTAAAATCCTTTAATGCACGGCTAGCCGTTGATTATCCCCTACACACACACACACACACACACACACACACATATATCCACATCGTGCATTTAAAATCCTTTAATGCACGGCTAGCCGTTATCACACTTATTGAATTACAAAATAAATAAATGCAATAATACTATTATCACTATTAATAATTATTTTACTTTTATAGTTAATCTTAATGAGTCACATTATGTACAGTGTGAATACCAAACCAAATCTCCGGGTGCTCTCATGAGAACCAGACTGAAAAACATATATGTGTATAACCTGTGAATAATATTTCACAATATTACTGTTTTTGCTATACGTTTGATCAAGTAAATGCAGCCTTGGTGAGCATAAGAGACTTCTTTCAACAGAACAGAACAGAACCCAAAAGGGTAGTGTACATTATAATACATGGAACGTGCCATGTGGGCACTTCTGTGAATATTTTTGAGTAAAATGCAAACGCATCAAATGCAACTATTATTACATCTGTCTTGTTAACATACTTCCACGTAGGGCTGGACAATAATTCAATATCAATATGTATCGCGATATTATTTTTTTCAATAACGGTGATATGATTTTTAAACACATTTCCGATATTTCGATATACATTACCAGTTTCCCATACATTTATTTATTTGTGCCGTTTGACTTCGTTGAATAAACATGAGCACTGCACGTTTCAAAATCATAACACAGCGCGGGTGTTTTATATGAATGTATCTCTGAAGGGAACCGACTGTCTTCAGAAAAGTTTCGATGGCATTTTCATTTTATCTGATAAAGAAGCGTTCATGAGCGGAGCTGCTTTGATTACAGCATTTAAAACAGTTGAGTACATTTTTTTTTTTCAGGATTCTTTGATGAATAGAAAGATCCAAAGATCAGCATTTATCTGAAATAAAAAGCTTTTGTAACATTATACACTATTCCATTCAGTATAATTTTTTGGGAAAGAAATTATAGAAATTAATAATTTTATTCAGCAAGGATGCTTGAAATTGATAAAAAGTGATGATAAAGGCATTTATAATGTTACAAAAGATTTCTATTTCAGATAAATAGTGTTCATATCGATATCGGAATTATATCGTATCGACCGAAATTAAGAAAGATATCGTGATATAAATTTTGGCCATATCGTCCAGGCCTACTTCCACGTTGGAAGGCATTGCGAAACTAACCAAGTGATGCAGCCTTTAGGAAACTTAATGGCAAAGTAAAAACCTGTCTCAGTCATTGCACATATATCATGAATATTCAATATATTGTCCTGGTTGAATATCTTTTTTTTTGTTTTTAATAAACAGTGTTCATTGAAATGTCCTTTCTATTTGAATTTAAGCTTTGTTAAATGCAACTTTCTGCAGAGCAAGCGCCTGAAACGGCAGGAAATATTTGCCCAAGATGGCCTGACATGGCAGAAGATAGTTCAGTTCTTCACCCAACATCTGGAGAAGAAAGATCAGCCGGCGGCCACTCATGAGTTAAAGAATATTCTCCAAGCAGCCAAACAGATCGGTAGGTAATTCATATCTTCGGTGTGATTAAAAAACAGTCCAATCAAGAATTTACAGTATAGTGCACTTTACAAACTGTCACAAATGGGCTCTTTCAGTGCAGACAGCTTCATTGATTTTAATTGAAGTTAGTTTTGATGTGACAAACCAGATGCTTCTGGTGTAGATATAGTGTAACTGTAAGTTGTTTATGTTTGCCGAACACATCTTACTGTCACAAATGTGAGTATAATGATTATTAATGTTCATTAATCATATTTATAATGTAAAGCTGCTTTTTGCACTGTTGACAGACTAATAATTAATTTCAAATTATTCTATGAACATATGTCTGTATTTTTATTTTGACATTCTGGGTGGTGTGCTACTTGCAGTTATATTGCTCGCATTTAAAAATGCGTCAAGCAGTTATATTGCTTGCAAAAATGCTCACGTTTGCAGCGCACACTTAATATCAGTTAAGGTTAAATAAACTGTTGTCTTTTATGGATTATGGTTTGGTTACGAGTCTAAAGATTTCTCATGCATGCTCATCTAATCAGAAATTGGGGAACAAGTTAACTAACGACCAGAGACTAAACATAAAGGAAACCACTTGTGTCATCTCGCTTTCTACAATTGCCATAAGTGCAGTTGTAGAGAGAGGGAACAGTGAAGGCCCATGTTATGTGTCAGATGTGTTCAAGAGGTTGCATTTGCTTACAATTGCCACTGTTAGTACTGTACATAGCAGTGGGGGCAGCACTTCCCTCAGGGGAAATATATATACAGTATACCGTTTCACATTTACAATTCTGCTCTAAGTGTTTGCTGCATAAAAACATTTTCGCGTTGATCTGAACTAAAACAGCAGACAGGCTTATTGAAAATGCAAATTCATTCTCTGCCAGCAGGAGGCGGTTTTTGAAGCGGCTGAACTAGACGTTTCCCTGGTAATGCCTGCAATCAAAGCAGTGCGGCGCTCAAAAACGCTACTTTATCAGGCATCATAAGAAAGATGAAATGAAAATGACATTGAAGCTTTTCTGAAGACAGTCGGTTCCCTTCAAAGACACATTCATATAAAAACACCCACGCCACATTTTGATTTTGAAACGTGCAGTGCTCAAGTTTATTCAACGAAGTCAAATCCTTTTGGAAAATCTATTTGTGGTGGTTAGTTTTGATATTGTTGTGGGCCGCCACAAATAAGTCAATGTATGGGAAACATTACAGTGTATAGACCAATTTTGGAGTAGACGTCACAGTTACGTTACATGCAGCTGCGTGCACATTTTGGTGGCAGAAAAACACTGGGAACAAGTGGAGGGAAATGGGTAAAATCCATGGAATAAGAGAAAAAATGTAGTGTTGTGCCTTTGGATGTCAGAGATGGAATGAAAATAAATTTTATAGAATACTGTCGTCAAAGAAGCCATTTGAAGCTAAACGCAGACGTTTTAACAAACAGACTATGGTTGAAACATGCTATGATTACTCTACTTTTAAAGCATAATTTTGATTTAAACAATAGGTCTATATAATATTCACATATGCAGTTAATAGGGGACATATTGTATTAGCTCTGCATTTACAGCATGAAATAGCCTACTATTTAAACCTATAACATTTGCCTATTTTATCTCACAATTCTGACTTTTTTTCTCGCAAATGCAAGTTTTTATCTCCTAGTTCGGACTTTATAACTCAATTTAACTCAACAATTGCAATTTTGTCAATTCTGAGGGGGATAAAAGCCAGAAGTGTGGGATATAAACTCCGCCGAGGGGAAAATAGAGAATAACAAGTTTTTTTTTGTGAAATATAATCTCGGAATTACAAGGAAAAAAGTCAAAATTTTGAAATACAAACTCAAAATTACCTTTTTTATTCCTTTATTCCATGGCTTCCATAGACCGCTACTTTAAAACGGTCATTTTCTGCCACTAGATAGGCTCCGCCCACAAAAAAACATCACCACTGTTTGCAAACACCAAATTGGTCTATAGGCATCTAAAGATTTACATGCCCTCAGTTTCTATTTACTATATGTACACTGTAAAAAAATTCCGTAAAATTTACGGTAAAAAAACGGCAGCTGTGATTGCCGGAATTTTACCGTAAAAAATACGGTAGCAACGTTTTAGGTTTTACGGTTTTAACTTAAATTTACAGTTAAATACCGTAATTTCATTAACTGATATAATGTTAATATACCAACCTATTGAAGTACTGAAATCTGTTTTGTACCTTTGTAATACACTGATAACCACCAAATGCAGGTGGTGATGAGAAAGTCACATGATGAACCAAAGCCCGTCACAAGCAGCTTTTAAATAATAACATATATAGAAGGTGCACAGTGTCATTCACACGAACACTAAACACCATCATGGTAACACACATGAAACTGAAATCATGCAATAAACATTCATTTAACAACATTAGGTGTAACACACAACCCTAATATGCAAAACTGATAAGAAAAAACTAAGAAGAAACATAGTTATTTCAACAAAAAAACATCAAATTTGAAATGTAACGCAGGGAATTCTGGGAATGTCAATTTACGGTTATTCACTGTAAATTATACAGTCTTTTCCACTTCCAAAAACGGTATACTACCGTA